CAATAATTGAATTTATATATTTTTTATTAAAGAAATTTGAAAGTCTTTCATATTATTTAGATTGAGATTGATTACAATACTTTTTTTAAATTTTATAAAATTTATTTAGAAAATTAATTAATATTCTTAATATATGTTAAGATAAAATTGTACTCTGAGCAATAATAAATTATTTTAAATATATAAAACTTTAGCTTATTATAAAATAAAATATATTTTAATAATAAAATTTAAAACAAAAATAAAATTTTTTTATTTAAATTTTATTTAGAGAGAATTTTGATAAAAAATAAAGACTATTTTTGTATATAAATTTATTTGCTATGGAATTTCAAACTTTAAATTTAAAAATGTTAATATTTTTATGATTAGTAGGGTGGAAGAATTTATTATAAAAATTGATTAAAACAAAATCTTGGTAGACTCGATAAATAAGAATAATTACTCAGAATTTATAATCCAAATATGTCGGATGCTTTTGTTTATTTAAGAAAATAACTTTTAAAGTTATTAATTTCACTAGACATGATAAAAAAATTAATTAACAAATTCTTAATGTAGATTTCAATCTAAAATACCATATTGAGATAAATCTCTTTTTCTTATAATGAATTTTCATAATAACTTTCTTTTATTTTGAAATTAATTAAATTTCACTTCATATTATATGTACGGTAAAAAGACAATAATTCAAATACATTCAAAATGGCTTGAGTATTAACTATCACTGCTATTCTTGTAAATGAAATACAATAATAAATGCTTAAAATAATTCTTAAATATTTAAAAATAATAAGTATTTTTAAGATTATAAATGTGTTGTGCATAAAGATCAAGATTTATTTTAAATCTAATTTTGTGAGAATTTAAAAATGGAGTTTTGAATGCTAAATTTAGGAAAATTATCAGATTTTCAAATAATTAATCATAAAACTGAGGAAATTTATTTCGTTTGATAGACAGACTGCTGACAACGACTGAAAAAAGTTAAATCTATCTCCTTGTAAAAATTTAATTTGAAAAAATTTAAAGGATGAATAAAGAATTTTATTATTAAATTTAAAATATTTGTACAATTATGTAAATAAAGTTCATACTAGTGCAAGCTGATACTTAATATATATTTATGTTTTAGTTTAATAGACGCATAAATTTTTATTTTTTTGAGAATTAGATTAAAAGTCTAAACTAGAATAATTTTTAAAAATATTTACAAAAATAAAATAGATGAATAATTATTATAATAGTTAAAAATGAAAGCAAAATTATAACAATTTTTTTTCAAAATAAATTTTTTCGATTATCTCAAATCCTACTCACTTCGATTATTATTAAATAAGCAAGCAATATATGTATGCTACACCAATATGAATTTATGCGCAATCAATAATTAACCCTTGATGAAGGGAATAAATGATAGAGTTAGAGTAGAAAAGATAAAGGACTTTTTCATTCAACTTAATATGTTAGAATTCTTTTCTTTTTTAGTCAGTCAGTCAGACGAACAGATAGATAGATAGCTAGGATGGACACACAAAAAGCAAACAAACTTTAGGCAATATGCGTGAATGCAATTAGCCACTATATAAATATGAATAGGAACTTAAAAAGTTCTTAATTGTTTTTGTATAATTATAAATTTTCATTGATTTTTGTTTAATTTGTAGTGCATTTATAATTTTTTTTTTTTTTCAATGGCTTTGTTATTAATTTCCTCTAGCTATTTTTTATAAAGGAATTTTACATCCAAAAAAACAAAAAACAACTTTTACCCCAAAAGCTATTCAACACCAACCAAACCTATCAAAAACAATCAACTTAAATTCAATTAACGAATCAAATTAATATCGAAAATGAGCCAAATGATCATGCAATCTATGTCTAGTATGTCAATGAACAATATGAGCAATATGCTCGTTAATTCCATCCAAAATCAAGCTAAGTCTTAACCTTAGCAATTGAATCAATCTTGCAATTCTTAAAGAATTGAAAATTCAAATATTAATGAAAATGCCAGCATTTATGCTGTATCTTTTGAAGCACAATCTTCCAATCAAACTGAAATTTACTCCGCATCTGCCTGTCCTTCTAACGCATCTGAATCTATGATGTTATGCTAACAACAAAGTGAATTATCAAAAAAATTTGAAGAAAAAAAATTAGAATTATGTTCAAAAAAATTAACTTCTGAATCTTCTATTTTGTAATAAGGAGAATAAACTAATATTTCCACAAATGAATCTGGAGAACAATCTTCTGATTAAGAAGAATTATCTACAAAGATTAAATGCTATGGATATTGTAGTAGTAGTAGCTGTCGATACTATAGCTTGAAGGAAAATAATCCAAACAATAATACCGATAATCGAAATTGTAATTGTAATCCAGCTCTTGCCTGTGATTACAATTATAACTAAAAGACTGCTTTTGACAATAGCAATAGTTCTTGCTTTTGTAAAGGCTCTTTTAGCGGGGGATTTAGAGGGTTTAGAGGGTTTAGGCCTTCATGTTGTTGCTGCTGCTGTAGGAATAGAGGTGGCTTTGGCCTGACAAATACTTATTCTCTATCCACATCCTATTCTTCTTCCTCTTCCTCCTCCTCTTCCTCTAACTCAATCATTCAAAACGATGACCATTTCTTTGAATTTAACAATTCTCAAAATATTACTAGGGAAGAAGCTATTTAGCCTTTGTTATAAGGATCAATCAGATAGATTTTATCAGCTGGTCCTGTTGTAGGATTATACGAAAGAGAAAGTGAAGAAGAATGGAATAGCTTTGTAAATAAGCTTTTAGCATACTTTGGAGAACGTGCTGGTTCTCGAGCTAAAGCGACTGAGGAAATTAAATCAATCATGGAATAACATAAAACAGAATTAACAGATTTATTAAAAGATTTGGGATTATAATATGGCAAATGCAACATTAAAGAAATAATTGCTAAGACTGAATCTTATATTCCTTGCGCTGCTAAGCGTGAGTTAGATGCAGCTGAATCTACTTTACGTAAGAATACTTAGAATGTCAATGAATTACGCATCGAAGGATCGAAGGTACGATTGTCTATTTTGCAAGGCTTGCAAAAGAGCGGAAAATATTAAATTTCAGATCTGGAAGAACGAATTAGTATGATTATTGAAGGACGAATCGAGGAATTAAAAAAACTTGAGAAGAAAATTGAAGGATTACGTCTAAAGATGCTATCTGATGCAAAATATCTGCGCCTGCAACGACTTAAGACTCTGCTAAAGGAATGTTTTGAAATGTGGGAAGAAGCTGACAAGAACACAGGAAGAGATATTTAAAATAATGGAAAAAAATTAGAAGAATTAATGACAATGGAAGAGGGAAACAAATATATAGATATAATAATAAAGCGTATAGGAGGAGGTCGAACTACGGGCAATGTTCATGTTCACCGCAATTTGTTATGGGAAGGAGTCGACGGAGAGGTTGACATTGCAATTACTGATGATTAAGACAGAGAAGTATTAGGATTAGTTGAAATTAAGTCTAGATTGTATGACATTGCTGCTGCTTTCAGATAAAGCGGTCCCTTAAGATAAAAGAGCAAGAAGAGATTAATTATACAATCTAAACTTGTGGATGTCCCGTTCGACGTACCGGTCTTTGTGGTTACCACTATCCCGTCTTATAGCTTCTCTTTAGAATTTGAATCTAAACTAAAAGACTCCTTAAATAAATATTTCTCTAATACTGAACCACATTTAATAGACTACAATGAAGTCTACCGCAGCTTAAAGCCTATTTACAGCAATTTAATTTCTCCTTTATAATGGTTTGATTTATATGCTAGCAAATACTTGATTATTATTGATTAATCTTAATAAGCTTAATAACAATAATAATAGTAATAACGATAAAGCAGCTAATAACAATGGCATAATCATCATCATCATCACCATCATTGCCATCACATTAACTCTAATTCAAACGAAGCAGCTAAATTATAAAGAGTCAATGTATTAGAAAATGAATGCTGCTGTGATGAACATAATATGAGTTTAGAAACTGATGACGACCATCATGATGCTCGAGATTATTCCTTATTACTTCGAGATCAAGCATTATTAAGCTTAGATTCAAATCGATTATCTTCGCCAATCTTATCTTCGCAACCCTCCTCTGATTAAATGACAGACGAAGAAGAAGAAAATGATAATGATGAATTTTACAATCTTTAAAATTTCAAAGACTTTGCAACAGCTCAAAAATTGTAAAATATAAAGATGTTCTCTTTAGTTTAAACAAACGATGAAAATTCTTGGAGCTGTTAGCCTTGGCCTTGGCATTAGCCACAGCCTTAGCCTTAGCCTCAGCCTCAGCCACAAGATTAATAACTTAAAGCTAATGGAGATTTTAATGAATTTGGATAAGACCTTTTGTTGTTATAACAATAATATCAGCAACAACAGCAACAGCAACAACGACAACAAGAAATGAGCAATGAACACATAGTTAGTGGAAAAAATGAATAAGTTTCAGATGACAAGTTGAACGCTTTTAATGAAAAAGCTAAATTAAGTATCAAGCAAATGAGTAAACTTAAAAAAAGTAAAGAGGAGCGAAAAAAAAAAGAGACAAAGCTTGAGTGTGAGGAAAATGAAGAACGCCGAGAACAAAAGGAAGAACGTCGAGAACCTGTAAAGAAGATTCAAAAAGTGGGATATGGTAAGGCCTAGCGCCTAAATTTAAAAGGATAGCAAAGTCAAGTTAGAGCCAAAAACTCTCCCACTCGACAACCGTATGATGATCAAATAATAAAAAATCCCCAAACTCAGATACAATACTGAGTAAAAAAAAACTCAAAAAAATCTCCTCCTCCTAAAAACTTAAAACATTTATATATAAATTAAAATTATACTTAAAATTTCTTATATTTATGATAAAATATTTAGCAATAAACTATATGAAGCGACTGGTAAAAAATTAAGGAGAGAAAAGAGTTAAATTGAGTAACAGGCAGCATTTATTCATGTTGTCTGTTGACATCAGTTGGACTTATTGAGTGAATAAATGAGTGAGGACGTAGTGATTGATGAATTAATCATTCAACCAATCTTCGTCCAAGAGCTTGTATCTATCTAATTTATTGGTTTTTACTTTTCATGATTCAATAAGCAATAAAGTTAATATTAATTATACCGACACTTTATAGAGTTTACGAATAGAAAACCAATGAATGAATAATTATTAAAAAATAAGTTAGTCAAAGAATGTTTATTACTTATTAATTTAATAAATTAACAATTTGTAGTATCTACCAGCAAAACAATTCAACAAAGGTTTATAGATGAACTTCGTGTAAAATTAATGAAAATTAAAATGTATTTAAAAACGAAATGGCACCGACTGTGCTATCCTCTGTCTCTGATTTATCCCACTCTTTATAGGGGTTGTAATAATAAAGGTAAAATTTAGTTATTTTTGTTTACATTTATGCTTATATTAATCAAATATTTCTTAATTTTAAAGGTGGAGATTGACGAGAGAGAGTAATTCATCTGTATAAACCAGCCTAAAAATTATTAATTTAAATGATATAATTTTGTTTGTGTTATTTGTTTTCTTCATATATTTGTATTGCTATTAAAAATATATTTTTTACTTTTAACATTTTTCTAGTATTATACACAACATTAATATGTCAATCTTAAAATAAATATGTGTGTTTTGAGTACATTTATTATAATAAAATATAAGTTTATTTCATTAACTCTTTTATTATAATTAATTATGATGTTATAATCTCATCATGAAAAAGCTCACTTAAAATTGTTTCGTGACGCAATATTTATAATACCTCTTAATAATGCATCAGTCTTTTTATATTTAATAATTTATTTATTTGCTTTTTATTTCTCTCTATTCTAATTAATTAATCAAACAATCTTTTCATTCTTTGACTTTTCTTTTATAAACGGATAAATAACATCTATTAGGTTGTCTATTTTTTGAATTTTTGGTTTAAATAAAATTTTTCAACTCATCGTATATTCTAGTTGTATTTTTAAGTTTTTCACTCATTTTTAACCAATTCAATAACAATAAACATGCAATTTAAAAAAAACTAAATTTTAGTTTTATTAGCGATTTATTTATATTATAATTAATTATTAAAAAGATAGATAAATATATTTTTTTTAAAATAAAAGAAGAAGGCTTTTAGAATTTTTTCAAAAAGAAATTTACATTTAAAAAACCAAAAGTAAAACAATTAAAAATTGTAAAATATATGGAAACAAGATTTATGAAAAATAGTTTAAAAAATTATAACCTTAAAAAATGAATAGATATACAGAAAAAGTAAGTTATAACTTGAGTACATCAATTTATATCTATATAATTTCTATTTAAAGTAAATTAATTTAAAACTTTAAGATAAAAGTTGTTTATGTATTATTTGAAAAGGAAGTTTACATTCAAAAAATAAGAAGTAAAAATATGATTTAAACATACTAAAGAAAAGATGTAGTAATTATGTTAAAAAATATTATCATTAAAAGTCAAATTAGATAAATAGGATCAATGATAATTATTGTACATGAATTTATTTAAATTATTTTTTATAAAATTTAAACTTTGTTTTATAGTTTTGTGATAAGGAAATTAGTATTTAAAAAAAATCAAAAAATAACAAAAATTAAAAAGTGATATTTAAATATGCAATAAAATATATCTTAATCTTTATTAAAATAGCACAAATAATAATGTATTTATTTATAGATAAATTAAATATATAACTACAGATACAAAGTCTTTAATAAACTCAGCATTTAAGATTTGTGTATTTTTTGATGGTTATTCGTCTTTAAAAAAGCAAAAAATGAAATCTTACATTTTAAAGAAGATATGTCAATATTAGATTAAATTATCAGATAATAATAAAAAGATATAGATAAATATATATATCTACTTTTTTTTGTTTAATTTTAATTAATTTAAAACTTTGATAAAAGCTATTTGAAATATTTTAATATTAAAAAAAAGGATAGATAGATAGGATAAGCGAGGACTATAGTAAACATAGGTAACTACTAGTATTCAATTTTATATTTAATATATTTAAAAGTAAAAGATAAATTCTATATGAGATATTTTACTATTTGAAAGGAGAATTGTAAAAATTAGATTAAAATATCAAATAATAATAAAAAGATACATAGAGAGATATATAGATAGATAGGATAAGTGAGAATTAGAGTAAATATATATTTTATTTATTTATATATTATTTTATATTTAATTAATTTAAAGCTCAAAGATAAAAGTTAATTTTAAAAAAAATGTTTATTTATTTTTTATGAGTTATTTTATTTATTTATTTATTTATTTATTTATTTATTTAATTAATTAATTAATTATTTAAAGCTTAAAAAATTCAAAATGCTTTATTTAAAATTAGTTAATTAATTAATCATTTTTTATACAACATTTTTTAATTTATTTATTTATTTTCTTTTTTAGAAAATTTTCTCTTTTATTTTTTTTCAGAAAATTTGTTTTAAATAACAGTTTAATTTAAATAAATGAGGGTTTTATTTGATTGCTTTTTATCAATTTATTTAATAATTTCAGCTATCTTTGTTAGTCATTTCACTTTATTCAATCACAATTGAATTAGTTTTTTACTTATAATTAAATTACTCAGATTGAGTTTTATTGATAAAATCAAAATTACTAATCATAATATTGTTTTCTGCTGATTGCTTTTTCAATTATTATTCATCATTTATGTTGGTATCGTTATGGTCGATTTCTTCTGCCTTGGGTGTGTCAGAGATTTTAGAATCTAACTGAAGGGAGTTTGTACGAAGTTTATTTTCATCTTTTTAAATTTCTACACTACTTCCATCAATATTTTTCTTCTCCTCAGCGTCAAGGTTAATATTGCTAATTTAGAAAAATGAGGAATTTCTAGGAGCATGAGTATTAAAGTTTGATACTACTAGAACGTCACCACCTTTAGTTCTTTGCTTTGTATTTGATCTTCCAGAGTTACGCTTGCTATTTATCAGTTGTTCCGTTGCTTTCTTCAACTTATGCTTAAGTTTATCACCAAAAGAGCCAGATGTATGCAAATCATTTTAATTATCTTTTATGATACTTGCATTATTGCTATTTGGAATATTATTTAAACTTCCATTATTTCCTTAAGTTGAGATAACCCTTTCATTTCTATTTAGAGCTCCACGAAACGATGTATTAAAATTATTCATCATTATGTTACCTCTTGGTGATGGATGAGGTAAAGGATTTTTGCTTTGCATAATGTTTCTTGTAGAATTACCCATCTTTTTATTCACAAAGTAGTTTTTTCTATTGACAACTCTCTTTTTCTCTTTGCATACTAATGTGTAATTATTATGAGGGAAGTAATTTGTAAATTCCTTCATTTTATCAAAATCGTATAAAAATAATGTTTTTTGGCTATAATAATCTTAATTGCGTGTGTTGTTATTATCATAATAGCTTTCAGCGAAATTTGTATTTGATGGCTAAACGAGTAAATTATTGTTTGATTATGGTAACATCATCATATTCATTTACATATTTTGCATATTCATAGGAAAAGATTGTTAAAGTTATTAGAAGTTTTAAAATTGGATATTTTGAAGAGATGATTAATTCTAAGCCTAATTAGCAGACTGTTGTTAATCTCCTCTAGCAGAATTAATTTGTTAGGCCTATTGCTAATTTTAAATTTAATTGTTTGATTAAAGCGATAATCCTTACTAAGATGGCTAATTAGCCATTAAGTTTAATGATTGTTAATGATTAAATTATTTGAGCTAAGAAGAGTGAGACTATGGATTGATAGGATTGGTGCTTAGATTAAACAATTAACTGTTATTATTTAAATACTAATTAATAGACAACTAGTTTTAGAAAGTATGGTGAGGACTAGATTGTTATTACTATTATTATTATGATTACTGTTATTATTACTGTTGTGGTGTTTGAATTGATTATTATTAAGAATTTTGGTTTGCCTACATTATTTCACCATTTTAAAAAGTGAAAGAAATTTTATTTGGAACTTACAAAAGATTGTTGCTCTTTTATGAAGATTAAATACTTGGTTGTTATTGTTACTGCTAAACCTACATCCAAGCTGAGCTAAAATCCATTTAATTCTTAAAGCTGAGCTGCTTTAAGTACTGATTTTATTGAGAAGTATTTTAATTGAATTAGCTATTTTAGCCCATTTAATAATTCTTGTTGATTGATATTCCATAAGGATTAGTATTATTACTTGCTCCCGTATTTGGGCTACTATTTATTTATATTGATTGTGGTATAGGAATTTGAAGAACCTCTACGTGATTATTTGAATGATCACTTATGTTAGTGACTTTTTTCTTTAGAGGAATTTTTCTATCTTTATCTTCTAAGACACTATCTTGTGGTAACCTAGAGCTATTTGTATGCTATATAAAATTAGATGAGCTCATAGGTACTATCAAATTGCTACTTTAAGGCATAAATAAATTTCCTTAGCTTTTAGGTACTAAAAAATTTCCTGAATTCTTAGAGACACCTAACATTTATCCAAAATTTGCATTTATTTTTTGTTGTTTTTGAGATTCTAAAGTCGGAGAAATAATAGTAGTCAAAATTCTTGCCTTTTTATCTTTTCTTTTGTGCTTTTAAATTAAATTATTAATAATTTATTAAATCATAAAAAACAGGAATTTAATGAAAAAGATTTATAAAATGACTAAATAGTTAAAAGTAGTTATATTGATTTACTTTTTCTTGATTTAAAAATTCTTATTCAATCTCATTAGATTGCTTGATGCTTTAGTTACGAGGAGTTTCTGATTTGTTGGTTTATTTCCTTTAAAATGGTAATTTATTAGTAGCAGTTTAAGGTGTTTTCAAGACTTGTACTTAACCTTAAGAAATATCCTGTGTATTAATAAAGAGATTTATAGATTTTTTACGTTTGAGAATACTTTAGACATCTTTTAAATTTACATTATTATTTTTAGCGAAAATAGAATCCTTCCTCTCAAAAGTAGGTTTGTTTTTTGGGCTACTATTATTAGAGGAATGGACTGAGTCAGTAGATTTATCATTTTTGTTAATTTCATTTTCATTTCCCTCTTATTCTTATAAGGGGTTGTTTTTTAATGAAATTTAATGAATTTTATTTGTGTTTGAACTGTTTCTTTTCTTACTTTTTTTATCATCGTTGCTTTTAATTTATTTTATAATGTCTTTTTAAGATTAGTTTAATTGATCATTAGTTATTTTCTCAAATTTATCTAACTCCTTTTTAGATCTTCTTCTTAAAGCTACTTCAATATTTTTTGTAGACCCTTTTCTTCCACTTTTTTACTTCTGTTCCTTCTCTTTTTAGGGAATTTATTTTGGAGAGATACTGATATTGTTTTAGCTGTTATTAAGTTCATCCAATCCTTCACAAGATTCTAAGCTAAACTAGCTGTTTTAAGTGGTTTGCTTTTTATTTTAAGTATCTTGGTTTTCAGCTTCATTTATGTTTTCATCTTTATTTTATTTTTAATTTTATTAGTTTTAATGGTTTTTATTTGACAAACCAGCAATTTTCAATGAGAAAATGCTGCCTTTAAACATCAACTTGTTTTGTTCTTTGTAGTTTTGTGTTTTACTATTTTAGGAGTTATCTAAACTATTTTAAGCTTTAAGAGCTTTATCTTCTTTGTTTAAATCATTTGAGTTTTCTTAACTTTTTGAATTTTGATCTTCTTTCTAAGTGTCACACTAATAAACTGAAGAGAGTTGTAAATTATTTTATTTATTTGGATTAGATTCTTTAATAATTTAAGCTTGATTCTTATTTATATTTTTTTAACCTTCAATTTCACCTAGGCTACTCTATTGACCACCTCCTTTCAGATCATTTTCTGATAATTCTTTTTCTTAAAGATTTTCAAAAGTCCCTTTTGTATTATCTGATTTTGAAATTAATGATAAACTTATAATTTCATTTGGATCTTCCAATATTTTTAGAGCATTACTTTCAATAGAAGGGATTAAATTCCTCTTTTCCTTATATAATTATTCCTGATATAAGCTCTATTACTTAGCCAAACCTTGTTAATCATTGCTATTAGTTTTGGAATAGTGCTAGTTTACGTTAATGCTATAAGTTATTGGTTCTGTAATTGATGTTGCTTTTGAGTGATTATTTGAATTCAAGGTAGAATAAAAATTAGTTTAATTAACATTATCAACATTTTCAATTATTTTTAATTGATGAGCATTTATTTCTCTTTATTTATCTCTTGGTGTCATAGTCTAGGTAACATTAATTTTTGCCTAAAATTCGCTAATATAATCATTTTAGATATTAACATTGCTAGTTTAATTAGATCTTATTGCTGTTGAGCTTGGGGAATCAGGAGAAATGTTGAGATTATTGTTCATCTTTTAATTATTTTTTAAATTGTCATTTTTATACTTGTCTTATCCATATTATTGTTAAGCATACTGAGTTTTATAATTATTGCCTGATACTGATTGTGGATTTGGTAGTGTTTTAGAAATATTTTTTCTTTCTTTTCTCTCAAATTCACCAGCAGAATCTTACTATTATTTCGAAGATTAAAAGCCTTTTATCTTAACTGTTTAATGTTTATTTTATTTCCTCACAAACTCTTTTGGATTAAAGTTCTAGCTGGCTTTCTTTTTTTACTATAATTTTTATTATTAAGCATCCAAATCTATAGAGGTGTGTCTTTCTCTTTAACGTTCCAAATTGCTATTTGCTATCCACCTTTAACTCACTGAGCTTATTCTTCTTTTTTCTTAATCTTAAGCCTTAAATATGCTATCCCTTTTAGTTAAATGGAGAGGATTATTATAAGAATCTTCCCTCTTCTTATTATTGACAAGTTCATCTTTTTCATCTGAATTAGATTCTTAATCGCTTTCTGTATTAGAATTTTCATTTTGTTCGCTTTAACTATTTTCACTACTGTAAATGCTATCTTAATTATAATCAGATTCTTCCTCATTATTACTGCTTTCATCTATATCATCTTCTATGATTCCATCGTCTTCATCTTCAAGCATCTAAATATCTCTAGAATCATCTTAAAATTCATCTTCCTCTTCTTCTTGATTATCATCATATTGCTCGTCATCTTCGTTTTGAATACAAATTTAACCAAACTGATCCAAGAATAATCTTGGATTTGTTTGAAAGAATTTTTTATCAGATATCTTCCTGAGTTCTATTGGTTTTTCAGAAATAACTGAATCAGAAGATTCTTCATCTTCATAAGTCTTCTTAACATTTATTAAGTAACCTGCTTTGTTGTCATCAAGTTAAATGTTTTCCTCATCTTTCATTTTCTTATTTTATTTTGATATGTACATTTTTCTTAATTTCCTCAATTTAATCTTGACCTTTTAGCAAATTTTTAATGCATTTGTTTTTAGTTTTCTGCGATCATTTTCTGGTTTACCTCTTTCATTTGGTATTGAACGAATGTGTCTATGTATCACATTTTCTCTCCTAGTTTTTAGATGCACATATGGACAATTAAAAATTGAGTGACGAAATTTCTAACAAGCTGTGCATTTTGTGTTTAGCTATTCACCATAATTTAAAATTTCATCCTTCATTTAACAAAATTTTTCCTATTTTTTCAATAGAATTTTTGAGTATAAGTTATTTTAATATCTATTTTACGTGGTCTTTAGGAAATTATTTTAAAACTTAGACGAAATCGTCATAAGTACAGTATATTAGATGTGAAACTGAAAGGCTTTTGGCACTAGTTTCTCTTAATTTTGAAGTAAAAAAACTTTACTCTCCAAAAATGTCTCCTTTCTAATAAAATATTTAAATTTAAAATTAGAAAAGGAATAATTTAATTTTAAAATTTAAATGATTTAAAACTGATACAGTAAGGATATCATAAGAGTAGTTATCTTGTTCATCTTTCCTCTTATATTTTTCTAAAAAAAGCTGGACTTCCCCTTTATTAATGAAGAATATACGATTATCACATTCATTTAATGTGAAGATAATTTCTCCTGGACGACAAATAATTTCTTTCATTTGAACAGTTAAATCTTTTAAAAAATTTTCACTAAAATTGAACTTAAACATTTTAGAATTTTAAAGAATTTTTCCATAGAAGTCTTTGTAAATTTCATCTCTTATCTTCTTTGACATTTTTTTCAGAATTTCCTATCCTTTTTCTGGAGATTCTAACTATTTATGAATCATGTGATCCAGATATTTCATAACCCTTGTCTACAGTTACTAATTTATACCTCTTGATCTCATATAAATAGATAGATGATATTTTTGTGCCCTAATAATAAGTAAGATAAAAATAAATTTCAAGAAATTTAAATATAAAATTTGTTATTCAAAAAATTAATTTAGATTTTTATTTTTTTCAATTATTTTCTCACTAATTTTTGAAGTAATTTTCATTAGTTTTTTTTTTTTTTGCAAGAATTTAAACATAATTCTAAGTTAATAAATTCATTTTTTTAATAAAAAAATTTTTTAATCTTCAATATTGTTTAATTTTTTATAAATTAATGTTTTTCTTCCTTTTAATTTGATTTGAAAATATGAAAAAAATATTTTTCTTTTATTTAAATTTGAATGTTTCTATTAAATTTTTGTTATTTTTGTAAGCAAAAAACAATGTTTATTTTCAATAATAATTTATTTTCTTGCAAAAAATATTTCTTATTTTTAATTACAATTTTGAAATTAATTTGCTTAACAATTAAATTTAACTTTTCCTTTCTTAATAAATATTTTCCTGTTTGTAGATTAAAATTAATGTATTTTAAATTTACTTATATTCAGCTTCCTGCTAAGCTATTTCTTAGAAAACAGTTCCTATTGTGTTAACTGTATATGCAAAAATAAGCGAAGAAATCAAAGCTACAAGAGTAACATATACTTTTTCTGGATCTGTAGTAGGTTTGATATCACCAAAACCTACTGTAACCATTGTAATAAAAGAGAAATATATAGCATTAATATAGCGAGAGATCCATTAGTTATCAATATTTAAATCTTTAACCCAGCTACTCGCATTATAGTAATCTTCCTCTATGACAGCTATGTAATTAAATCCACATGCAAAGTAATGAGCTACCAGTATCACAGTGATAATTAGATTGACTAGAGTGTAAAGTGTATTAGACCTTTGCTAAATATAAAAATATTCGTTTATATCTCTTCGATAAGCTCCTATCCTGAAGATCTTAAACATAACTAGAATTGCAAAGTATAGCTTTTGCTAAGCGTATAGAAAATATAAGGAAACTGTGGTGATCAAATCAACAAAAAACATTGTCTTTAAATACTATTAAATTATTTTGATTCTATTCATTTAAATATCTCCCTCTTCGTAGTAGGCAGTGTTAAAAGCTACAAGAATTTCTGAAATATACATTAAAAATGGTATTAAAAAAATTAAATAAAACTCAGGAGAGTTAGACCCAACAACTAAATCGAATGAACCTTTCAAAGGAACATACACTAAAGTAATGATCGAGATAAATAATAAGATAACCTTAAACCAATTAATCAGAGGTTGATGTGGAAGAAATAACGGGATATACTAACTTAGATTTTCAATCCAAAGAAGAAATGATTTGTAGAATTTACGTTAATGACTTTTTCTTAGTTTCTTTAACTCTGCCTCAGTAAGATACATGCTGTTGTATGTCTTTTAATTAATATTTTCAATAACAACATTGTAATCAGATGAATCTCCTATCAGATCTAAATGTGATTTTTTTACCTTGTAGAATGACTAGTACAAGCTTGATATTTTTATTGAATCGATAAATTTTTTTACTTTAGCAAGCTTTTTTACGAAATTCCAATTAGTGCCTGGGTTTATTTCTGCTGGTATGTTTGCTTGGCTTGTATTGACGTTAGGATTATTTATTAACTAGCTCATAACAATGTTGCTGTTGTTTTAATTTTAGAAAATGTTAGATGCTGGGTTAGAGTAGTGTTATGATTGCAGCATCATGTTTGGAGCTGGGTTCACTTTATTTAGAGGAGTGTTTTGAGTGCCTTTTTTGCTTATTTTCAGTAAGTTACTAAAAAATTAAAAGAATCCACCTTTTGTTTAATTCATTTTAGAAGGACTATCTTTGTGTAACGAACTCTGCGAAACAGATTTTGTTTAATTTGCTAAAAACTATTTACTCCTAGGAGATTATTGATTATTAAATCCTGCATCTTTCTGATTATGCTACTTAGCATGTGGAACTTAGAGGGTTAAATTTTTAAAATTATCATCTGTACCAATAGATTACTATGAGGGTACATTTAACTGCTTAGTATTTACAGAAATTCTCATTTTATCTTGATGAATCCTGCTTCCACCACTGATAATTGTCCCCTTTTTATTATCATCTCTTGAAAAAAACCCACCCTTCATATTAAAATCCTCAGGAATTTGGTTGAAAGTTGAATTTCCACCATTTAAATTAGCAAAGCTATCTTGCCTTTTTCCCCTATCTCTTTGTAATCCAAAATCCTCTTTGGAATTAACTCTCTTAGATTTTTTCATTTTCTAACTTACAGTGAGAATTTCATCAAAATTTCGAGAATTATTTTAGTTTTAAAACCCCGCTAAAGGTGACTTCCATTCGCTATCGATTTCTTTACTGCTAGTTTTTCTTATTTAACTTCTCAGAATCTTATCAGACTCTTCTTTGATTCCCTTAAAATCTTAATTATTTTAAAATACATCTTAGCTTTAATAATTAGATTGATTGCTTGTCTTATTTGGGGACAATGAGGTATTCATTGTAGCCTACTGCTATCTAGATTATTGTTACTGCTAATTCTGTTACTGCTGCTGTTGCTAATTTAATCTAGCATTATTTCTGTTTTTAAGTCTACTCCTCATATCTGAACTGATAATCTAATTTTTGATAACTTTTTTATTTTAAATTTCCTCTTAAAAAGGTTTGATTTAACAACTATTTTAAGTATCATGACCATAATTATTCAAACACATGCTAGATTCTAAAGCTTGAGTTTGCTGATGGTAGTCAGGACTAGTTAAATTTTATTAATTCTGCTTGTTTAGGCTAACATTTTTATCTAATTACTAGTTAATTTATTTAGTTTAATCTAATAAAGACTAATTATAATTTTGATGCTTTGCAGATAGAATTTATCCTTCTTAATAAATCAACTCATCATCAACCAAGTGTTAATCTTGGTCTTTCTCTCTATTCTGAATCAATTATGGCTCCTTATTTGTCTTGGAGGACTACTGATTCATATTAAAATCTATATTAATTGTGAAAAATCAATAAATTACTCTTCAATCAATATATCAATCAATCTATTTATTAATCTTAATATTTGTATATCATTAGTTAGATTAATTAATTAACACTTTCATGTAATTATAAAAAACCTTTTTCTTAAAAAAATAGTGTAAATTCATAACTATAAAATTTACTCATTCTAAATCATTCAAAGTCATATTATCAATCTATTTATCTATCAAAAAAAACAAACAAATATTAACTTTTTTTACGCAACTATTTGACATCAATCAAGAAAACAAGTATATCAAAACATGCCAATTAGCCAGCCAAACTCTGTACAAAATATTTAATTGATTTCTTATTTGATATAAAAAAAAATTCAACTAAATTTTGTTATTTTAATTATAAAAGATCTTCTTATAAATTTAACGAAAAAAATAGTCACTCCGTCCTAGTGATTTTTGTTAAAATTCAATAAAATTTGATTGAACTTGAAAGTTATTTTTAAATAGTAAATTAATTTAAATAAACTAAATATATTCAATTTTAACATTCAATATAAATAAAATGTCAAAAAAAATAAAATTTGACTCAAATCCATAAAAGTTTTTATATTTTAGGCTTGAAAATGAATAAATAGCTTAGATTTTATTAATTTAAAATTCTTAACTTAATTATTTTTTATTTGTTCAAAAAATACTTAAGAAAAAGAATCAAATAAATAATTCTGTAAAATAAATTAAATATAAGCAACAACCAAGTTCTTAATAAATATTTCTTTATTTTTTTTTCTCAATTAGAATTCAAGACCAGCCGCTGATTTTATTTTAGTTAGTATTCAAATTATGTAGTAATATTTAACTACTTCAGTGTATTATTATTTTTTACTTTGTTTTGACTTAAATGAATATGTAGATTTTCCAAAGTTTCAATTACTTACTAAAGCCAACTAGAAAAAAAATAAATATATTTGGATATATTTTTCTATTTTAGCCAAATCATATTTTTTTTAGTATTTTAAAAATCAATGCATTATAAAACAAGTAAATTTTATCAATCTCATCTATTTATATGTAATAATTATAAACTTTAAAAATTTTTGATATTCTTGTTCAATTCTGAGTGTTATTTTCTTATAATTCACTGGATTAATTGTTTAAAATAAATTATGTTACACTACTCATGTTTTTGTTATATAAATAATAGCAATAATTAATTATTGCTATTTTAAAATTATTAATTAAGTTTTAATAATCACGAAAAAAAATAAAAGAATACTATTCAAATTTCACTAATTAGAACAAAATTTTGATGAAAAGGATTTCTAATTAATTTTTTTTACTGATTGTTTTATCATTTATTTAAATCTTTCATTTATTGATTATTTAACAATTATAAATTTTCAGTTTTAATGTTATTCCCAAGAACCATATTTAGCAAAATCAAATTTATGCATAATAAAATTTATTCTTATTATATTTAAATTTTATGAAATTAATGTAGCTAATAAAAATATTGTAATTTCTTAAAACTATAATTAGTACTAATCACATTCTCACTAAAAAAAGTTTTAATTAATTAATTACTTTAGAAAAAAATGAATTATTTTTTTTTGTATTTAGTAAGTACCGTACTTTCTGTAATTAATGTTCATAATCAAATTTACTTTAATCAAAAGTTTGTTTATGAATCTTGCTTCAAAAGAATATTTTTTAATTTATTATTGGTGTTTATTATTTAAAATATCTAAATTTGCAATAATATAATTTCTTTAAAAAATTAAAATTTTTTAAAACATAAGAAAAATAATTGTTATTTAGATTTCATTAATAGTTTTTTTTTTGTTAACTTAGATGGAAATCTTATTAAAGCAAATACAAAGTTAATTAATTATTTTAACAATAATTTATTAATAACATCAACAAATGAATAGTATTTTTGTGAATTAAATATTATTTAAATTAATTTTAAATACTTAAATATCTTTAGAAATTTTTTAATTCAAGCTACGAACTTTATTTCATTTTGAATTGATAGATGATATTATATTCAGTACCAAAGTATTAATTACTCCAAAAACGCAAAATATACCACCTATTATAGCACAAACCTAAAAAATTAAATGTATAAGTTATTTTATTGAGATAGTAATCAATTAAGTATACTTACTTGTACAACAAAACTGTAGAAAGATTTATTTTTTGTTTAGTATACAATATTTATAGGAGACACTTAGTAATTAAAGGAAACTTCAATGATATCAGTCTATTCTTTTGGCTTTTATTAAACATAATTGTTAAGAAAGTAAAGATATAATATTTGTTTAATACAAATATAAGTTAAATTATTATTAAAATAGTAAATTTATTAAGCCTTAAATTTATTGATTTTAATTATGGAAAAACCATTTATTTATAAACACAAATGATATGCTTTATAAATTAGCTTATCTTTAAATATTTTTGTATGGAAAAAACTTTTCAAATTAAAGTTATTCAAGTATTTTTTTATTAAAATATTAATTATGTTTAAAATTAGACTTTCTAATTTTCAAGATTTAATATTGTTTATAAATAAAAGGAAAAATAATTGCAAGTTATGAAAAAAATCATTTTTTTACTAAAATTAGTATTTCGAATTTCAAGTATTTTTTAATAATTAATTTTAAAAGTTTAATTTAAATAATAATTTGATGAGCTTAATTTTTTTCCAATAAAATATTATAATTGTAAATAATAATTACGATGACTTGCTAATACATAGTAAACCTAAATGAATTTGTTCTAATATAACCTAATTCTTTGATATTCTCAGCATTCAATGGAAGGATTTTTATATAGTTATCATAGCTGCATCTATACTCATAATTATATCTAGACTCATCAAAAGCTTCGCTATCAGATTTATCTAATCCTAAGCTTTTATTTATAAGTTATAAAATTATGTTAAATTTATTAGTTATTTTTATTATTATTTATTTTTGAGCTTACACTTTTTCGATTTTCTTAGTCTTAATGGTATCACCAAAAGAGAGCTTATTGATTTTATGATTAATATTTAATTATTTTAATAACTGCTCATCTAAACCTTTCATTTAAAGTATTCTAAATTTAAAACTTCCTGGAATAGTATTTAAAAGTAATTAGCCATGAATTCTGCACTGCTCTTTATTTTTAATTTACTCTAAAACTTCCTCTATCTTTTGCTGGCTATTTTCTTATTCGACCTCTACATATGTTGTTTCCTATTAAAATAAATAATAGGATTTTTAAAACTGAATATAATTTTATATAATTGATAATTATCTCTATTTTTATATTTTACAGTTCCTATTTCTTTATTTTATCTATCTAGTTTTATTCTTGTTAAAGTGGATGAGTAGTCTTATAAAACTTATTAACCATCTTAATATAAAACATCTAAACTGATTACTATAAAAAATGCTTAATTTTAGTATTTTTCAAAATAAATTACAGGAACAAGGAACATTAAAGAAAGTTAAGTCTATATTTGCTTTAATAATAGCTTAATTTAGAGATTAAACTTCCAGCTTTCTCACAATAGTATACTTATTCCATTCTTAAAATTCATGACAAAAAAGTATGAATCCAATCTAAATATAATATTTAGATAATAAATATGTGTATTTAAATATTAAATTAATTCATCTTACAGCTAACGCAATAATAGAAAATAACCCTCCAACAGAAGAAGAAGAATCAATATCCTAATTCACTTTTTAAAATGCATCAAATTTTCTAAAACTCTACATTCTTTTTTGTATAAAATTAATACAATAATTTATTGTGTTTAAAAAGATTTGTTAGAATTACTTTAGAAAAAATATCTAATAATTGAAATTATTCAACAATATAATACCACTTGTATTTTTTAAAATTTTAATCAAAAAGTATTATTTATTTTTGAATAAATAATAAAATACCTTAAAAATAGATTTTTATATTATAAAATTACTTTTGGTATTTAAATTATCCAGATTTTTAGAATAATTTATACTTACAAACTCTGTTTATTGTATTGTATTTTAATAAAGTGAAGTCTCTTTTGGTAAGTCTTTTAAATTATTTCTAAAAAATTGATATTTATTTATTATATTTACATAAGAATAAATAAACAATAAGTAAATGTTGATGTAGAAGATCTTAAGAGGTGGTTAAATGAAGAAATATTTATAAAATTTCGTTCATTTAATTAAGGTTTACTTTGATACTAGAATATATCAAAATTTTAGTGCAATTTAAATTTTTCAAATTCAATGTATTTTGTATTGTATTTCAACTAATTGATACTTTTTTAAGATAAAACTTTTAAAGTATTTCTTAAAAATAGATATTAATGTAATTCAAATAAAAATAAATAAACAATATCTTTATGTTGATAGA